AAGCTGTTGTGCTAGGCCTGCGGTCACCCAGGAGCTTGAGCGGCCGTCCTGGCCTTGGGTCGTGTTCAGGCGGGTCGCGGCCTGGTTGCGCAGCAGCGGCTCTGCGCCTGTCCTGAGTCCTCAACACCGCACTGGTCCTGTGCCACCGCCCCCTCATCAGAGCGTGTGCTGTCAGAAATCAGCTTTGGCGCCCCGGAGCGCGTCGCAGCCGCAAAGGCCCAGCTCGACGCCGCGCCGTCCGCCGACGGCGCCTCAACCGGCGGCGAGCCGGCGGCAGCAAAGGGCAAGGGTGCTGCAGCGGCGGCGGGGGCGGCGGCTGCGGCGGGGGCGGGGGCCCCTTTGGTGCGCCACGAGGTGACGGCTGCTGACGTGGACGCGGTGGTTGGTGAGCTGCTGAAGAAGGTGGACCTCTCAAAGTACATGCTGTGACACGTCCCACAGACGACTGGTACCGGGTGCCACCAGCAGGTTTGCGCCCTGGATCGCCACCGCCCAGCTCGGCATTGGTTTTTGGATCGGCTTGAGCGGGGCTTTTGTTCCAGCAAGTTCCTTGACCTAGCCTAGCCATCCTTGTCCTTTGCGGTGCTGTCCTTCATCTGGACTGTTACCCGTGTACTTAGTCATGTTCAGTCATCTTGACAATTCGTGGGCTTGTTATTCAAGTTGCAGATTCTCACATCGCTCCTTGTAACATACGTGCGCTCGGCGGTGGCGGGGAGGGTGCAGCATGTTGGGCGGGGGACGGCTGCCGTCTCACTGGTGAATGAGGATGTGTGTGTATTGTGGCCACCGGGGTGGGAGTGATGCACAACGGTTGCCTGCAGACCGCTGCAGGCGATGCTGTCTTGCTGCCACAGCCAAGCTTATCCTGTGTTATTCAAAGCGGCAGACAGGTCTACACACGCCGTGAGAGCCACCTGTTTCCACGGCACGCTGCGGGCGTGCACGCCTGCTACGTATACCCAGCTGGGGTCGGTGGCATGCGGCAAGGGCGGTGGCATGCACCATCGGAAAGCTGTCCGCCTTCAGCACTGCGAAGCGCCATTGACACCGAAATTGCGCAGGTTCCGCAGAAAATTAGTGCCATCAAGGGGCAACAAGGCTTCCCGCGCCCAGTGATGAGTGCGTACTGTGGCCACCGGGGTGCGAGTGATCCTCGATATGATATGTTACGGTATGTCATGATGAGATGTTGTGATGTCGTGTGTATTGAAACCATCAAGCTTTTCAAGTACTCCATCTTTGCTCTCGTTGCAGCAGTTCGCTGGACCAAGTTGCGCCCAGCACGGCAAAGCACAGAGCTCTCTTCGAGGCCAGCTGCCAGCAGTGACGATTTATTGAGAGCTCGCAAAGCCATACCTGTCCCACACCGAACCCACCGCATTGATACGGCACTGGTCGCGTCAACAAGCGCGTGTCGGCACTCGCCGGCGCTGTTGTGCTGCTGGGTTCGACCTGGCAGCGCCGGTGTATGGCGGCCGCGGCGGCCGTTGGTGGGACTGCAAGCGAGCAGCCGCACGTTGGTGAGGATCGCGTTGACCTGGTAGGTATCGCGACCTCGAGCGACGACGAGGACGGCGCCCACAGCAGCAGCAGCGGCAGCAGTGGCGGCGGCACCGGCGCAGGCGGGCAGCATGTAGCGCTGCGCAACGGCTCAAAACGCCGTGTGCAGCGCGAGTGGCAGCACTCCCGCCAGCGGCCGCCGCGAAAGCGCAAAATGGGTTTCAGAGAAGATGCGAGTGGTCTGATAACAATCCTCGACACCGATGAGGAGGATGGGGAGGACGCGGGGGAGGAGTGGGAGGAGGGTGGTGATGGCGGCGACGATGAAGTGATCTGCACAGGCACTGCGAACGCGCATCCATCCATAGCGGCGTCCGGCCTGGCGGCCGCGGCGACGGCCGCAGCGGCGGACGCGCGGGCCTTCGCCAACGCCGCCGCCGCGGCGGCTGCAGCTCGCGGCGCATGGGTGCCCACATTGCCTGGCGCGGGGCCCGCGTCTTGCGACGCCGCGGCGGTGGCCGCGGCAGCTGCAGTGCCGCTGCCCTGTCAGCTGTCCCAGGGCGGCGCCCAGGCTGACGAGCTGAGCGATGAGCAGGTGGGGGCGGCAGAGTGTCTCTGCACCTAAGCCTGACTAAGGGTGTCTGTTTGGTTTGTGTTTGGCCCACCTCCCCTGGTGTCGTCGTATGCAGGCTGTCCTGCTGACAGTCACGAGGTTGTTGGGTACACTGCGCACTCATGCGGCTCACGTTGTGTCGTGGCTGTGTCCTCCCTTTCCCCGCAGGCTGCCGTGGCGCGTGCTGTGCTGGTGGAGCGCGCCAACGTGTTCTTCAGCGGCTCCGCCGGCACGGGTGAGGGGGGCCGGGGGGGTTGGTGCAGCGCCAGGAGAAGTCGGCAGCCAGGGGCATCTTGGATGCGGCACGCGTTTGCGATGCTGGAATCTGTGTTCGTCTGGTCGGCCCAGGCGGTGGGCCACCTGGCCCGAACGCTCTGGAGCCCGTGCCAGCAGTGTCATCCCTTGCGGTTGCCAGGTCAAGCGCCCGACCGACACTCCCGCTGTCAACGTGCCCCCTGCGACTCCCGACCGACCTCCTGCACAGCCCTGCCTCCCTCGCTCCCCCCCTCCCCACTCACTCAATCAACCAATCCCCTACCCCGCCCACATCCCCAGGCAAGTCATTCCTGCTCAACCACATCGTGGATCAGCTGCGGCGCCAGTTTGGCCCCAAATTCCACGACAGGGTCGCCGTCACAGCCGCGACGGGCATCGCCGCCACACACATTGGCGGTGGGCGCTCGCTTGGGGCAGTGCGGCGCCCTACCCCACTTTGGGCCCCTCTCACCATCTCATCATTCATGGGGACTGTTTACGGCCGTGAGCTGCGGCTGTAGCAGGGGAATCGGGCCTGTTCGCGTCACGCTCGTCAGGGTTGAGAACGGCCCTGATTCTTCAGGCGCTCACACCGCGCTGGGCAGCGTAATCATGTCATGGTGCGTACGCCCGCCTCCAACTCGGCCTGTCAGGCTGCACCCTCCACCGGGCCATGGGCATCGCTATCATAAACGAGTATCAGGTATGCGCGGGGGGGGGGGGCAACAGAGGAGGGGCCGCGTGCAGGTGGTGGCATCTTGCAAATAGCGATGTTGTGGCGGTTTGCCGCCCTTTGCAGTCGGTCCGCACATGCCGGCGTCGCCTCTGCCGAGCGCGGGGGCCCCGCCCCGCCCCCTTTGGG